AAAATTTTTGTAAAATAATTAATGAAATTATTAAATTTTTATAAACAGTAAATAGTATTTTATAATTATCAAGAACTGATAATTATATAATTTTAGAAAATAGAATAAATTTATAATGTTTCATAAATATAAATAGAATTTTTATAATAATTTCATATAGTGGCTCTTCACAATACCTATACGGTTCTTTAAAACTTAGCTTTCGTGTAAAATAGAAACAATAACCGTGTTGACAAATGAAAACTTATATTTTTCTAATCCATGACCCAAATATTTTGAGGATTCTTCTGACCAAAGAAAAATATATAATTGTCAACAAAATTGTTTCTTTTTTTTCCCTTCAAATCCAAAGAACTCTTATTATTTTATACGTAGGTTATTAATTCTGCATTATAAAAAAAAGGACTCAAATCATTTTATCGATGATCTATTTAACTTGATTACAAAATCGTTAGAGAATTTATTATTTATTATATCATGAAAACCAAATTTAACAAATTACATGTTGAATTAAAATGAAAAGACCCAACTAATAAAGTTAAATTACTATCATTTTAATAATCTTGAAACCCACCAACTCGATCTCCATTAAAACCTCTCTTTCATCTTCTTCCTTTTTTTTCGTGTTGAAATTATCATCGGCAATGTCATCCTCTTTCGCTTTCAAGTCATTCATCGGATCCACCAGACCCAATTCATCTCTGGGTTCATCTCTTCCTCCGGAGCTTCGTCGTTTCTCTGCTCCTGTCGTTCAAATCGTCCTCCGTACTCGAACCCGGAAAAATCTGCGTAAAGATCTCCCTGTATATCTGACTTCGTTATTGATTCCTTTTAATGTTGTTACCATTGTTTATCTGTAGCTGCAAACTCATCTTCCAAAAACTCTCCATATCCATTTTCAGAGAAACGTTTGTGAACTAAAAACCAAAGTCATGAACTTTTCCATTTCAATCTTAGTTCAAAGTTAACTCGTGTCAAGTATAACTCAGGTAAGACATTCCCAGAATAGATAAATTCAGACATGAAAAATTCAGGGATAACATAAAATATTTGACAGAGAAGAATCAATTACAGAAAATTGAGGAATGGTTCTGGTTACCTTTTGAGAAATCATGGGTTACAGGGAGAATTTCACCATTTTTTTAAGCGGACCAAGCAATTGGACGCCGGAGAAACTCTTTTCGAGCGACCAAACCCACTTTCGCTTCCTATCTTCGTTCAACTTCGCAATCTCCATAGACAATTTTTTTTTATATATATAGAAATTTAATTTAGATACATACAAAGAACCATAAAATCATATAGATAAATTAATTAACAAATTTTGATGAATGGTAAGAGAATCAATATAAATATTTATCAAAATTTAAAAAGTAGTTTAACCGAACCAAATTCAATGTAGAAAAATTTGGTGAATACAATAAAATGATTGAATGCATGTATCTTTATTTTTAAATAAAAATAGGTATATTAAAAACTCACTTTTACCCAAAAAACAAAAAATATTAAAAACCTATTGAAGAAAGCGTCGTCTATTTTAAAAAAAATAATAATATATTTAATAAATGCAAAAATATAATTAGGAAAATTAAATATATATGGTTATTAGATATATGAACATCTGTATATAAATGTATATATACAACAAAAATCTTTTATATTTTAATAGGAATTTAAATTAAATTAATGCATTAAATAGAGAGTCTATTTTGAAATGAAAAAAAATTATTAAGTGTATGAAAAACAAATGTTTTCTCGACACATAGGCAAATTATATGCATGCACGGCAAAATTTGAAACCAAATCCGCATAGAAACTTTTAAATACCGTTCGAATATATTTTATATTTAAAAAGGGTACCCTTCAAATTATATATAAACTTTTCCGTGTGGACCTATATCAATTTCTGTTTTATTTTTTTTATCATATTTTTCTTTTTGTTTTTGCAAATGTTTCTGCTCTCCAAAGTTGAGAATAATAAACTCTTTTGGACCACTTTGTAAAACACATAATAATATTTCAAAAAATACCCTACGATACACAAACACATGTTTATATATTAAATTTTAGTCACTAAAAAATAGATAAATAATTCTGTAAAGAAAAAAATATAACATACATATACGTACATTCCAAATGCTATTGACATAATCAAAATATAAGAAGTGGGATCAAAAGGATAAGAACAAAATATATTAAAACTAAAAACGGATTGCAAACCTGAATGAATTGGAATGGAGCATTAAACTCAAACGCCAAAATACTTGCACTGCATGTTAACGGACATGAGAGTATAGACATTATTTATAGTTTAAAATTAATTAATGGTTGTAAATATTGTTCAATGAATTCAAAAACTAAATTAACTATTCATTAATAAAGTTATAAGGGAGGAAGGCAACGTCAATTTTTGAGTAGATAGTTTTCTGAAAACTATAGTCATATTAATGCAATTATTTGAAAAACCTTTAAAATTCCAATTAAAGACATAAAGACACGTGTCACCCTCTGGTGGAAAACTCTACTTTTATATATAATATATAATATATATATATATATATATATATATATAAGATTAATAAAATCTTTAAAACAAATTCTAATATGACACGACATATATAAA